TATTCTGTCATCGAAATATTTTTTAGCTTGGTCACAAATTTGACAATATGAAACTGTCATGAATAATGACTTCAATGTGTGCTTTTCCCTTTCCTGGTACAAAGCAACAAAGATCACAATGCGACTGCAAGCTGGGGATGTTTTCGTTAGTTTATCCTTCTCAAAGGTAACCAAATGCGATGATATAAACTGTGTTGAATATTGAAAATGAGGAGGATTGAGGAAAGAACAAAGAAAGGAACCGGGTTCAAGAGGATAGAAGACGAAGATTGACGTTGCACATAAATCTTTGAAGGTTGTAGTTATCAGGGAAGTAAGAAGTCAGAAGGGAGTTCCACAGGTTGAAAGTGCAAGAAAAGAAACTGTTGAATTGGCGTTTGCATCTAGCTAGTTCAACAGGAAAACAACGAGACCTAGTTGCCAATCTAGTAGCACGTTTAAATTCATGTAATCGGGTCACCGGAGACAAAAGCAGCTGCCATGAAAACATTACAGATAGAGGGAAGTCACGGTCCAGTCGGTGGGAAAAAGAATGGAGACGAGATGCCTGATCAGTATCGATTGTATTGCAGACCCTTTCAACAGTAAAGTGGTGACACCTAGTTGCCAATCTAGTAGCATGTTTTAATTCATGTAATCGTGTCACCGGAGATAAAAGCAGCTGCCATGAAAACATTACAGATAGAGGGAAGCCATGTCCCGTCGGTGGCAAAATGACTGGAGACGAGATGCGGGGTCAGGATCGAGTGTATTGCAGACTCTTCTCTAGATTTTGTCAAGAATCTTGAAATCGACCGCAGGAGCACCAGACCAGATTGGCGTGAGTATTCAATACAAGGACGAATGGTAGATTTATAAATGTGCAAAATGGATTCTAACGAGAAAAAAACTTTGACACGGCACACTGAACGAATCTTCCTTGCAGCAGACGTGGTGATTGACTCGATATAGTCGATCCATTTCATGTCAGTAGAAAACGTAAGACCAACAAGGCGTAGAGTGTTGCTCTCCTGGAGTTCAGCTCCAGCAATCATGATGTTAGTCAGAAAACTTTCTCTGTGGCGATTAAATGAAATCAGTTTCGTTTTGTTGGTGTTGTAATTTACAAGCCATTTCTTGCCCCAGTTAACCACTGATTGAAGGTTCTCTTCTGATCGGAGTATTTACCAGGTTTGCTTTGTCTTCTCTCCCGGACTTGCCACGACGACAGAAGTAAATGGTAGTGCCAACTGCTTAAATGCCTCTTTGTTAACTTATTTTAGTAGTAAAATATTAAAAAGAAAATAATTAGGGATCAATAAAAATCAATAGGAAAGTATGGATTATTACTGACAAGAGGAGACATCATAGGAGCTGTTTCGACGATGTGATTTTTCTTCTTCAGCATGACTGCTCGTTTCAGAGCCTACTCGTCTTCTCAAGATTGTGTTTCTTTCTACAGAGCTAACCTGTAGTTTATACTGCATCGAACTTAGTTACAATTTAAGTATTTACTACCAGGGCCACATCTAGTTTTTTAATTCAGAGTTGAATTTATAGACTTGTTTTCAAACACAGAGAGTCTAATCGGTATTTAAATCATAGCTGGGGTGGAAAAAGACGGTTTCATTTCTTCTGCAAGGGTATTTGTTCAAAAGTGGACGTAACGCCATCGAGGCTTCCAAGCAAGTGGCTTCTGATAGTGTCAAATGGAAGAGTATTTGCATGAAAGGAATTATAATTTTTGTAGAGTCTACGCAGAGAACATCTACATATTCCAATTCAGAACAGTAAATATCGTTCTACCATCGATGCAGATATTCACAAAGGGTGCTATTCCTGGCCCTCTCTTTCCGTTTTCAAGGCACGATAGTTAAAAATTTAATATTGTTGCATTTTCTGCTGTATTTAATTGCTCCTGCATTTCCACCAGTTCGCATCTTTACCACTAAGACGCACCATGCCACGTCCACCAAATCGAATCATCATCATTTCCTTTGTATTCTCTTTCTAAGATGGCAATTCCACCCAGCTACCGCCCAAGAACCGATACTTTGCGGAACTGACTCCTGCATAGATGATTCCGGAACACATCAGCATACTCTGGCGTGGATGCTTCCAGACTGCCACAACATAATCCTCCGTTGACGCTTCCCGACTACTACAACATACTCCTGCGTGGGTGCTTCCCGACCACGACAACATACTCTTGCGTGATTTCGTATTCGAACATCAATACATCTTACAGCAAAATGACCAACAATACATTTTATCTGTAGTTAAAGGCATATAGTTGCGTTCAAAACATATTAAAGCCATAAAATTGTGTTCAAAATATTTAGATTCCAAAATTAAATAACCCATAGAGGTGCTGATATGTCACTAAACAAAATCAACAAACCAACAATACATATTTATAGTAAAACTACATTTTATCTGTAGTTGAAGGCATACACTTGTGTTGAAAATATATTTCGTTGAAGCCATAAAATTGTGCTTAAAATGTTTAGATTTCAGCATTAAATAACCCACAGAGGTGTTTATATTCAACTAAACAAAATCAACCAACCAACAATACATATTTATAGTAAAATGACCAACAACATATTTTATCGGCAGTTATAAGCGTTCAAATTATATTTAATTGAAGTCATAAAATTGTGTTCAAAATATTTAGATTTCTGCATTAAATAAGAGGTTTATATGCAAAAATGAAAATCCACCACCATATTTGGCTCAACCTGTAGAAAACTTGTCAAACACAGCGAAATGTTAGCAAATAGGAACTGGACATGTCTTTTGCGTTCGGCCACTGCTGGTTCTGCCTTGAAAATTGGTATTCTCCTTTTGTATTTTCCTGGAGTTCGAAAATCAAGTTGGGTTTGTTTTTCAAGTTCAATCCAATTCATAAAATTCACAGCCGTGCACCACAGTTCATTGTGAGTGCCCATAATGTAAAATATTCGCCTCGTCTAAACTACTTATCCTCTTTTGAAGTTCAGAATTGTCTGTCTCCTAGACTAGTGGAGAATCATAGCTAGAGTTCTCAATATCCCTTGCTATATACTCATAGCATCCACAATCTCCGTGTGTAGCCGGTTTTGAATTCAGAGTTGTGATTCTCCTAGAAGGAGCACCACCACGCCTACAAGCTTTTGCCTACTACTTAACCTATATCTGGGTAAGGGAAAACAGGTCGATTTATACCTTTCTCAAGTGTAGTTATTCGAAAGTGGAATTTGAACTAGCTCATTTCTCTTTCCGAACCGCTAACAGTTTCTCTATCTGTAAATCCGAGCGATAGTAAAATGCTAACTTGCTCCGCCACTAAGCAATCTTGCATTAAAAAAGGCGTTGTTCTAATGAATTGATTCGGATGGAAAAAGGTTTTAAATGAGGAAGAATAAAAGTAATATCTTGCCTTGAACATACAGGTTTGTCTGAAGTCCAGCAGGCAGTCTCCACTCAATATCGCAAAAGGTTACTTTCATCGGCAATAAGGATTCGTCTCCTAAAGGTTTTACTTAAGAGACATTTTCATAATATTTGCGGTTCATTTTGAAGAGTTGCAGCTTAATTCTTTCACATTTATAAAATTATCATTGCTCCGTGTATTGCTAACATGTCTGATCTGGTACTCCAGCCAAATATCTCGAGATTTACGATAAAATCCAAAGAAGGGTCTGTAATAAAATCGATCCTGACCTAGTATCTCGACATCTACCACTTTTCCACGACCGTAACATGGTTTCCCACTGTCTTTTATTTATATAAATATTTTCATTGGCATTTATTCTAAAGAGCTTTCCTCCTTGACGCCTAAACCACAGGAATTTAAGCGTGCTACGACAGTGGCAACTCATCATTTTGCACTTGAAATAGCTAAGCCTAACTGGAAGTACTATTAATAGTTTTTTTCCCTCTTCCGGTTTCTTACTTTCCTGCTATCTACGCCAACCACCATCAGTTTTCCTTAGTTCTTGTTTCTTGGTTGTCCTATTCCTCACTAAAGTATTTCCGTTCTCTCCCATTGCCAGTACGTCTTCGTGGCATTATCATCTTGCTTGCATGATAAAAACAAATAGTTTTATAAATATAATCATTGACAGAATAGAAGAAACAATTGCCATGTTTGTATCACCTCGAAACGCTTATGAATACGTAATTTGAATGAATATTAACATGGCACAGTTTGTAGTTTCTGATTTGCTGGACTAATTGCGACAAATTGTTACTTTTATGCATTGAGTGATTGTTGCATCTCGTGTTTTTTTTTTGAGATAACAGTGGGAAATAAATAAGGAAGACAAACTTATAGATAAGTAATGAAATAGAAGATTTACTACACGAAGGTACACTTAGTAACTGACTTCTTGTTAACTCTCCCTAACTCCGCTTGACTCTATTTATTTAAATAAACGATGATTGCATTCATTTCTGTTCTATATGAGAGTGACTAGAAGGCAGAATATTGAAGAAACAAAAAGATATAAACAAACTTAGAATTCAGTAACTAGTGAGCTATCTAGATATGAAGCGATTGAGATAGATAGATAGATAGATAGATAGATAGATAGATAGATAGATAGATAGATAGATAGATAAATAGATAGATGCTTGTATAAACATATGTTAAAACAGATATAGATATATAGACAGATATCTGTATGAACAGGTAGATAGATAGGATAGAAACAGACTGAGATAGATAGATAGATAGATAGATAGATAGATAGATAGATAGATAGATAGATAGATAGATAGATTCATGCATACATACATACATACATACATACATAGAAAGAATATTACTGATTAAGACAGATAAATAGACAGTAAATACTGATTAAGATAGACACACAGATAGATATCATTCGACCAAGATATATATATATATATATATATATATATATATATAGAGAGAGAGAGAGAGAGATACTGATTAAGATAGAAAAATAGAAAGTAAAAACTGGTTAATATTGATTGATAGATATATAGATATATGGATAAATAGATACTGATTAAGATAGATAGATAGATAGATAGATAGATAGATAGATAGATAGATAGATAGATAGATAGATACATAGAAAGATAGTAAATACAGTTAAGACAAATAGATAATAAATAGAATAGAAAATACTGATTAAAATAGACAAATAGATATTATTATTAGACCAAGATAGATAGATAGATAGATAGATAGATAGATAGATAGATAGATAGAGAGAGAGAGAGAGAGAGAGAGAGAGAGAATACTGATTAAGATAGAAAAAAAGAAATTGAATACTGGTTAAGATTGATAGATAGATATATAGATATATGGATGAATAGATAGAAAATACTGATTAAGATAGATAGATAGATAGATAGATAGATAGATAGATAGATAGATAGATAGATAATGAACAGATAGATAGATATGAACAGACTGAGATAGATAGATAGATAGATAGATAATGAACAGATAGATAGATAGATAGATAGATAGATAGATAGATAGATAGATAGATAATGAACAGATTGAGATAGATAGATAGATAGATAGATAGATAGATAGATAGATAGATTTGTAAGGAATAAAAATCATTTCAAAAAGGCAAATAATTATAAAGAAAAGGGATAAAATAAAGCAAGATAAAAAAAGAAAGTGAGATAGATAGAAAGAAAGAAAGAAAGAAAGAAAGAAAGAAAGAAAGAAATACTGTGAAAAAAAACACGAGACAGAAATAAAAAATGAGGAAAAAATAATTATTAATTAAAAAATAGAAAGCGAGAAGATAAAAAAGAAAAAGTAAGAAAGAAAAAAAAAAGAATGAAAAAGAATGACCCACAATACAGAAACAAACAAACAGAAGAAAAGAAAGAAAGAAAAATGGATAAGAAATTAAAGATAGAAAGAAAACGAAAAAAAAAAAAAATACAGACAGCTGCACACTTAGCATATGTAAAAATTTTATTCCTACAAACGGCGCCACGAAAAACTAATTAGCATATTAAAGGAAAGTCTGTCCGGGGGGAAAAATCGAAAGTTCCTAAAAGAAATAGAAAAGTGATTGTAGACTCCATCTTGGATTTCAATGATTGGCAAGTACAGTACTGACGAATTTTCGAACCTTACTAAGTGCTACATGTTTATTTGTACCAATTCTCATCCGCATTTAATACTACGTTAATACATGTGATAATTAACTATTTATCAAGCTTGGTTCACAAATTAATCCATCATGAGTGGCCGTAATGTCGGCCTTGAACCATATCTAAACGTTGTTTTTTGAAGTAATCATTAAAGACACGCGTGGATACAATCATTGCTGGTTGCTCCAAAATTATACCCCTGTGCCAAGACAAGATTTTTAAATTGATACAGATATACTAAAATAAATATTGGTATAAATATAGTTCGAAAATCTCTCTTTTTTGCCATTTTATTGACTGGCAGTTCATCGTAATTTATCATCAGTCTAAGATATTGTTACATGACGTACCTATGAACCATAATGGGTATGTCCCAATCCTCATAAATACGTAGCATAAATAAATAACTATTTCACAACTAGCAGTTGGTTACCCACTTTACGCCGCATCCTTACCAGCCCCATGTTTCCGTCCCTGGGCCGGTAGTATCATGGCTACGAGTAGCTTGGACCGGCTCTGACTAGTTTGGACCTGCTATGACAAGCCACGACCAACTATGATTAGCTTAGACTAGTTCTGACAAGCATGGACACGCTATAACCAGCTAAGACCAGGTTAGACCAGCGGCCCGAGTGAAAACACTCGGGTCCCCACGTTAAAAACTGACCTTGTGTCACAACCTGACTCAATGGGTGGTGGGGGTCAAGTAAATATCTACCTACTTAACGCCGTTGCCGAGTATTTTAGCTATTCCCCATTCAGTGACACTTCCTAGGTTACAACAGATATGTACATTATTCATTTTGAAATTCAAACAAAAATATTACCTGAAGAAGGCCGGAGCGTACAATAGCCGAAACGTTGTGAATGGAGTAATAAAGATAAAGCGAACAGACGGAGCAAAGTAAAGAGTGCAAATAATTATAATACCTAATCTCAGAAATATAGATATATACCTAATATATAAGTATAAATGTGGATATATACCAAACAATTAGATATCAGCAACTGTATGGTTTGGTTTGGTTTGTTTTACGGTATATCAACCTCAATGGGTTATTTAATGCCGACAAGATTTTTATTGCTGGTAGTAAATTTTTACAAAATTGTATTGCTTGTATTAAAACCTATTTTTACATTTTCATAGTGTTTTAACCCTAGTTTAGGGGTTAACTATTTACCCATAGTTGGGACCCTAACAGGTGCTACCACTCAAGGTCAGGGTGGACTTGAAAACATCAGCAATTAAGTGGTGGTTCCACACTCCTCAAAACCTCCCGATGAGAGACCTTGATGTTGACAGTAGTTTATCGCCTTACCCAGGACGCGGATGCAGTTTATTGTCATACCCAGGACGGTAGCAATTGCATATACGTGCGTTAGCGCGCATACACAGACAAGCGAATTACTTTACTTAATTTAATATAAGGTGTAAACAAAAAATGCTCAATGTGGTTAGACAGAGCTAAGAAGTATATATTACTAAACATACACATACCTACGTTTGCAATGCAACTTAAAGTTTCATGGTTTTACCAACTCATCAGGCACGAAATATTACGTTTTTTGTTTATCTAAAACCACCAAACTTAAGTTGCACTACGAATGTAGTATATATATATATATATATATATATATATATATATATATATATATATATTATAGGGTGGCAATAAAGTCACTATACAGTTACTTACAATAAGAATTAAGGCAAAACGATTAATCAAAAGTCCATAAATTTATTATTAAGATGATTGTAATTAATGTTTCATAACCATAAAATGCTATAGTAAGCAATAGTAATAGTAAATTAATCATCTGTACTGTTCGAACTGCAAGCCATCTGTTTCAATACTTTGATTTTTTAGTATACCTTTAACTAACTAATATATATATATATATATATATATATATATATATATATATATATATATATATATATATATACATGAATTATTCACACAAAACTAATGCAAAGGTTAATGATTTTAAATGGCGAGACATCCATCTCGCAAACAATTCAAATATTACACAAAAAACCTCAGATCCGTTATGAATGAATTGATCCTTGTTCATATAAATTTCTGCCGTATTAGTTGTTATTTTTACACAAGCTTTCGTCTGTTCTACAGACATCTTCAAAAATATAAGTAAAGATTTTGTTCTTGTTTTTTCTCTAAAAAAGTAAAAAGAGGACATCGAAAATATATGTGTTAAAAACCAATATCCGAAATAGCATTAAAAAATGACATATATTGATGTCCTTTTTTTAAAAGAAAAAAAGCAACAACTAAGTTTGATTTTAATTTTTTTCTGAAAATGTTTGCGTTTATACCAAATAGTAATGAACAAATTATTTTAAAAATTTAACTGTCAAAGTGGCATGAACTATATTGTTCAATAAGGACAGTAATGTCATTCATTAACCAAAAGTGAGGTTTTGGATCAGATATTTGAATTGTTTATTGAAGATGGATGTCTCGCCATTTAAAATCATTAACCTTTGCATTAGTTTTGTGTGAATAATTCATGTATTTGTAAATTGATTGCACGTTTATTGTAATTTAAATATCTGATCCATGTGCGACTTTTGGTTAATAAGTGCGACATTACTGTAATTATTGAACAATATAGTTCATGCCACTTTGACAGTAAAATTTACCAGTAAAATAATTTGTTCATTACCATATTTGGTATAAACGCAAACATTTTAAAAAAAGAAAAAATTCAAAATCAAACTTAGCGTTGCTTTGGCGCGTTCAAAACCAATATCTCATTTTCAATAGCATTTCGGATACAATACACATATATTTTCGATGTCCTCTTATTACTAAGAGAAAAAAACAAGAACAACATCTATTATATACCTGAAGATGTCTGTAGGAACAGACGAAAGCTTGTGTAAAAATAACAACTAATACGGCAGAAATTTATATGAACAAGGATCAATTCATTCATAACGGATCTGAGGTTTTTTGTGTAACATTTGAATTGTTTGCGAGATGGATGTCTCGCCATTTAAAATCATTAACCTTTGCATTAGTTTTTGTGAATAATTCATGTATTTGTAAATTGATTGCACGTTTATTATATATATATATATATATATATATATATATATATATATATATATATATATAAAATTGAATATTAAAGTCAACACTCAGAGGTGACAGAATGTTTCCTGCTAGGCGCAATCGTCGTCAGTCCATGAATCTAGTATTTATTTGTATTTACATACGCTTATCTCTCTCTCTATATATATATATATAATATTTATATTTACATACGCTCTATCTCTGATATTGAGCACTTTATTCCAATAATATAGGAAACCTTATATTTCTTCATATATATATATATATATATATATATATATATATATATATATATATAAAATAATTATCTTAGTAAGTGTTCACAAACTTTTTCTTTAATGACAGTTTAATGTGTAAATCAAATAACTAGATATTATGTGCGTATATGCGCGCGTAAATCTGCATACACCTATAAGAAAATAAATATTTAATAAATTTACTTCAAGGTGTAAACAAAACAGTGCTCAATGTGTTTAGACAGAGCTAAAAAGTATATATTACTAAATATGCACATACCTACGTTTGTAGTGCAACTTAAAGTTTCGTAGTTTTAACAACTCATCAAGCTCGAACTCATTAATCAAAGCCTATTACGGTTGTTTTTTTTATATAGACATTTTATATATATATATATATATATATATATATATATATATATATATATAAGATATGTAGATATCTATGTTAAGATAGCAGACACGAATAGAAAATCCACAGGCCCCTCTAGGCAACGGAGTTAATGATAGTGAGAAGAAAAGAGAAACCATCAATTGTAAGAAAAATCTGATGGTCGTTAGCAGGTAAAAATGTTCAAGAGATTAAACCTTGTTAGAATGGGATTGTAGGCTGAAAATAATTCATCGTCCTTAAGACTACGTAAGTGCTTTTGAATGCTGTTGAGGTGGTGGGGAAGTAGTACATGGCAGCTCTAGCCCAGATATTGAGCTATAATATAACGTAATTCCCCATGTATAATACTTCTTCATCCATTTTACGCACTCGTAACATTATCCTGAAAGTGTGGGAAAACGCTTCTACTCATGCATAATACGCATCCCTTGTTTCGTAATCAAACCCTATAAATTGCACCTCTCCAATTTCATTACGGTCAGCGTTTCCTACTCTTATTCAAGCTGTAGTTGAAGATATTTATCAAAATTTCCGATCGTCACGATTCTAAAAGGAAACGGAAATACCTATATTGCGCCTACTGCGCAAGCTCATTAAACTGTTCGATAAAATGTGCAATCTACCCGATCTGTATGCAGTTTTTCACAAAAACAGAATAATATTATTCTAATTAAGTTTTATGATAATTGTTATTTTATTTTACATTTGTAAGTATATTTTAGGTAGATATGATTGTATTTGACATCCTTATTGGGTCGCAATCGCCGAATGTTAGTGTCAAATTGTCGTATGTTTGTGGTGAGCAGTCATTTCGCAACTGAAATCAAACTATGAAATGGTTTTGAAATTTTTTTGTAGCTGTGCATAACACGCACCCCTAATTTTGCTTCTTTTTTTTTTTTTTTTTAGAAAAAATGCGTATTATACATGATTATACTTAGAAAGACATACAGCATTTTATTGTAAAATTTTATTGCAAAAATTTTATGGATAAAAATAGGACAAAAATTAATGTTGTTTTTTCGTGTCGTCGCCATTTGCCATGTGAAGGCAGTGTAACAGGATGTTTCCCTTGGGTT